AGCAGAGAAAATGATGATACAGTTATGCTCTGAGAAACAAACACGGTGGCCTCAAAGGGGGTGTAACTGCTTTACTGTAGACAGCTTCCCAGATCTTGGTGTTAGTGGTCTGAGAGGCCCGGGGGACTTCTGAACTTTGAAATCACTGGGATAACACCTCTCCCTTTTTGATAAATCAACCTTTTTGCTTAACTATTTCATAGGGAAAGTTTTTGTCCCTTACAATCAAACAATCTCTATGACAGAAATTAGTATCTGGAGTGGGGTTCCAGATAAGAAACCGTCAGAGACAATATGGACCAGACTCTGGACTTGAGGCATATGAGTGGTTTCCAAAGTCTTTTATCAGAAGACCGGAAGCCACAAGTCTGTGATAATGTGGTTCCAAAGCAGCTGGCACTGCAATCTCATGGGACTCAGGTCATCAGAGACGGACGCTGGAAAGATTTGCCTGGGAACCAAGTGTAAGAAGACTACAGTGAGAGGACAGAGAAATGACATGAGGTTTGTATTAAACATATGATCTAGACACCAAATGGGATCCAAAAAGGATTAGGAACCTCTAGGAAAGGGAGAGGGCCTCCTGTATCACTTGCAAATCTAAGCACTTCTAATGAGTCAGACTTGGTGACAGGTGTCAGCTTGTCCAACAGAGGGGAGTTTCTTCTGGAATCTCCTTGGAAGGAGCTTCCAAGGAGCATGGGGTAACTTACCTGTTTGGGACCTGGGACCTCCAAAATGAGCATGGCTTGTGCTAAGCAGGTGCCAGGGGAGGCAGAGAGCCCACAAACATCCCCACGTTCCCTCTGGGTACCGATGGAGACAAGATTTGGTCAACAGGGAAACCTTAGTCTGGGATCCAGGAGCCCTGGCGTCTCATTTGATCTTCCCGGTCACTTTCTGTGTGGCTGAATCAAGCCACTCAATTTCTCTGAGCCTCTGAGCTTCTTCATCGGCAAAACTGACATATTTTTACTTGTCCTGCTTCTTGAGAGGAAAACACGGCCCTGGATATAGAAGTGCTTTGTAAATGGGCAGTAAGTTCCTCTGCACATGTGGTCCTAAGAACAGCCAGAGTTTACTAAGTGTGTTATGTGCCCGACATCTTGCCAAGCACTTTGTCTCCATCACCCCATTTTACCTTCACGAGGACCTTATGAAATACGTGCTTTTATCATGCTTGCTTTATGGCCAGAGAGGTGAGGTGTGGGGAGAGAGAATAATTTGCCCTAGAACACACAGCTGATAAGTGGCAGTTAGAACCCAAAGCCAGGCAGGCTGGCCCCAGAGTGCATACTACGGTCTAACGCTTCCATTGGTAGACACGGCAAGCAGCAGTCGCCATTTGCCGAGGGACTACTCTGTGCCAGTTCCCACGCTAGGTGCTTTCCACTCACCATTTCACTTAGTCAAATCTTCTTAACAACCTTGAGAGGCACGCACTGTTAACTTCAATTTATAGCCGAAGAAATGGAAGTGAGATAATTTTGGCCAAGGTGACTCAGCGGTAATGACAGAGCCAGGATTATGAGAGATGGTTATTGTTTGAATTCCCTCGGATACTTGAGCTAGTGGATGAGGATGCTATGGTAGATTGCATTTTCCAAAGACGACCACAACTATATATTTATCCTGTCCCACATCTTCTGCATGCGGTGTTAATACGGGGGTGGGGGGTGTCTGTATTCCTCCTCCATGAGTCGGGGTAAAGCTGGCGATGGCTCCAAAGAATGCAGCACAACCAAAGTGATGCTGTGTTTCCATTCTCTCTTTCTGGAGACACCTGCCCTGGCCTTCAGTCACTATGTTATGAGGAATCCCAGGCCATCCAGAGTCCACAGGTAAGCTCCAACCGACAGTCCCAGCCAAGGACACTGCTAATAGCCAGCATCACCCGCCAGACATGTCAGTGAGCAAGCCTTCAGGTGACTACAACCCCAGCCAATACCTAATTCCAACACAGAGAGAGTCCAGGCTGAAACCGTCCAACTCAACTGCTCCTGAATTCCTGATAGAAGCCACCAAATTTGGAGGGCAATTTGTTATGCAACAATATATAACTAAATTGGATGCAAAGGAAGTGGTAACAAGGGCTAAAGCCAATGATCTCCCTTATCACAGTCATTATAGCAACTTACTCACCCTTGTGTGTCACCTCTTGAAGAAAGACTCAGAGCCTATGGGTATACAGTAGGCATTAATGGTGGGAATTTCTCTGCCCGTTTTCTTTAGCTCAGTCCCATCACGGGGGAGGCAGGGAGACAAAGGCAGGTTGGGTGGTGAGCTGGGCCAACCTCCTCAGTTCCAGAGAAGATCAGCAAGGACTCCCCTTTGGCAAGAATGGGAGTGGATTAGAGTGGGGGCTTATAGGTGGTTATGGAGGCAGGAAGATCCAGCTCCCAGTTCCAGGCTCACCATCTAATTGCTGGGTGACTTTGGCTGAGTCAAGTGACCTCTCTGAGCCTAAGTCTCTCAGCTGTAAAATGAAGCTGAGAGCAGACCCTTGTTACAAGGAGGTTGGAGGATGAATAAGATAATGTGCACAAAGCCCCTGGCATGGCACTGGGCCCATGAGAAACCCTAATAGATAGCAGTGATCATGGAAAGGAATTTCTTTTTTATTTTTTTAATTTGTTTTTAAAGAGAGAGCATGAGTGGGGGGAGAAGGGCAGGGGAAGGAGAGAGAGAGAGAGAGAGAGAGAGAGAGAGAGAGGGAATCTTAAGTAGGCTCTGCACTCAGCACAGAGCCCAAAGTGGAGCTCGATCCCATGACCCTGGAATCATGACCTGAGCCAAAATCAAGAGTCAGATGCTCTGCTGACTGAGCCACCCAGGCACTCCTGGAAAGATAATTTCTTATTTAAAAAAATTTTAATGTTTATTTTTGAGACAAAGAGAGAGAGAGAGAGAGAGAGAGCATGAGTAGGGGAGGGGCAGAGTGAGAAGGAGACACAGAATCCAAAGTAGGCTCCAGGCTCTGAGGTGTCAGCACAGATCCTGCTGTGGGTTCAAAGTCGCAAACTGGGAGATCATGACCTGAGCTGAAGAGGGACGCTTAACCAACTGAGCCACCCAGGCGCTCCCTGGAAAGGTAATTTCTTAATAATCTAACAGAGATGGTAGCTTCTTGAGAATCACCTGGAATTTGTTTTTAATACTATAGAAATTGGAAGGGAATGTCCCCTCCCCACCCCCCACTCTCTACCCCCAACCATCTCCAGTCCTAGGCCTGGGCTTTTTCTGTGTGTGTTGGAGGTGGGGAGGAGACGGTATGAGCCCAGTGGGGAAGGGAGAAGGCTGAGAAAGGTCCTCATCAGCCTTCCTTGTAGATCAGGACTGACAGTAGTCGCTTTCCAGAAGTCTAAACCAGGGGGTAAAGGATTCAAATGCCTTCAGGAGCCAAGCAAGCAGCTTAAATGAGGGAAGGGGCTGCCATGCACTGGAGGGCAAGTGCCTTTCAAAATGTGTGATTTTTACAAGACACTAGCCAACTGCACCATATGGGAGATGTGGACCCCTTCTGGCTAGAACCTAGAACTTTCCAGAAAAGCGGGGATTTTTTTTTTTTTTTTTTTTAATTCTGATGAAGTGCCTGTAAATGTAAGGTCCTTTTTTGGCAAGGTCTTTGTTTTGTTCACTGCGTATTCCCAGCCTCCACAGTAGGGCCTGGCTTATCATGGACACACACACACACAACTTGTCGAGAGCGTGAATTGAAACTTTTGATTTTAAGATACTGGCAACTAAGTCAGATTTCAAAAGTTATTCAAATAGGGACGTCTGGGTGGCTCAGTCGGTTAAGCATCCAACTTTCGGTTTCAACGTAGGTCATGATCTCACGGTTCATGGGTTCGACACCTGAGTTGGGCTCTGCGATGACAGTGTGGAGCCTGCTTAGGATTCTCTTTCCCTCTCTCTCTGCCCTTCTTCTCTTCATGCTCTCTCTCTCAAAATAAATAAGTAAACTTAATAAAAAAAGTGATTCAAATATATGTTGTGGGACACATGCACACATGGGCACACGCGTGTGCACTCACACTGCTGGGCTCCATCCCTGGGACTGCCAGTTTAAGAACTCAAGCCCTGAACTATAGCTGAGCGAGCTGGATGGAGGCAAAACAGACACAAGGAGCTTGGGATTGGAGGTCACCAGAGTAGGGCAGACCTCACCCTCCCTGGGCGTGAGGAGGCAGATAAGGAATGTTGGGTCTGCGCTCTCACCTGATGGATGCTCACGAAGGCTTGAATGTGAGAAATGCTGGAAAGAATGGCCTGTGGAGTGCCTCCAGGCCTCAGGTTGACCAGAAGGCTGAGGGAGGAGGCAGCAGGACCTCCCAGGGCCACTCTGCAGCCTGGGTGAGGGGCAGTGGGCACAGCCAACACACACAGGGGGGACTTGTTTGGGGCCCAAGTGCATCCCAGGGAGGGGAGGGCAGAAGAAGGGAGGAGCCAGGGTTCCTGGACTGGATTTCATTTGAGTTAGAAGAAAGAAATATGAGAGAGAGCTGACAGACGCAGCAACATGAGTGGATCTCACAGGCATTATGTTGAACAAAAGAAGTCAGTAAGATTCTGCTTCCATGGAGATCAAAAGCGGATGAGACAAGACTCACCCATGGGGATAGAGGTCAGAAGAGTAGTCCCCTCTGGGGGCAGGTATGAGCAGGATGGGGCATAGGGGAGACTCTTGGGTGATGGAAGTGTTCTGTCTTGAGATTTGGGCAGTGATTACATGGGCGTACACATAAGGAAAGAGTCATCAAGGTGTACATTTTATGTATGCAACTCAATTTAAAAAGAAATTTTAAAATTTAAAGAAATTTTAAGAAATGTGGAAGAAAGGAAGAGAGAAGAAAGACAAAGGAGGGAAGGAAAGAAGGAAGGAAGAAAGAAAGAAAGAAAGAAAGAAAGAAAGAAAGAAAGAAAAAGGAAGAAAGAAAGAAGGCAGTGGGGAAGGAAGGGAGGGAGGAATTAAGGAAGAAAGACAGACAGTGGGCAGGCAGGAGGGCACTCCTTTGCTGGAGGACTCAGAAGCTCATCATATCTATTACACCATCTGGTTTTTACTACCACGTTTAAGTGGCTTTGACCCAGATTTTTCTCTCACAGGACTGTCTCTGAAATCAGGAGGCATCTTACAATTCATGTGTTTAATTCGCAGCGCATTGGCTTTCTTGGTAGTACGTACAAAAGACTGGTGTCATGTGGTGCCCGCGGGGTCCCCTCTCGAGCACCCTGCAGATGAAGGAGGGGGGGGATTGCGTCCTCATAAACTGGACCGAGAAATGGAACAACTACAGTTATGATTGTTGTTTGCAGACGCCTAATTGCAATCCCCACCCCGCCACCCCCTTGGATCCCCCACAGGACCCCGGTCATGTGAAGGGGGCTCATGCCCCCTTCCGGCCTGGGACCTGCGGGGAGGTGGCCGAAGCGGTCTCACACACGAGCAGAGCACCTGTTCTCTCTGGGCTAACAGCTCCCAGAACAATGACAATGACAATTGCGCCCGCAGATTCTGGGCCCTGCGCTTAGCACTCATCTCTCATCTCTGTGTCCCTTCCTCCCAGGCAGGGAGTGCTCTGAATCCTTAATATTTGCCACAAATGAACAAAATCAACACAGTGTGTTCATAAGCCGACACATTTCTGGTCTTTGGACAAGTGGCCTTTGGATTTCCCCTAGGTGTGGTGTTGGTTATTTGACAGACATAATATACCAAAGGTTGAGGGTCTCCATTCTGCAGATCTGGAAACTGAGGCCCCAGGGGACCAGAACCCAGGGCTCCAGCTCCTTATCCAGCACCACCCGGCTTCTCTCCAGGCCTCTGAGAGCAGGGAATGTGGGACCCTTACCTGGGTTATGGCTCCCGTCACCTGGGACCTTCGGGTCTCCTCCACCTGCCCCTGGAGTGAGAGCCAGCGGTGGAGAAGAGCTTAAGTAGCAGGGAGGAGGGGGCGGGCAGGTGCCCTGGGGGCCCTGAGCAGAGCTTCTGGAAGACTGGCCACTTGTGGCTGATGCCAGCAAGGAGGTGGGGTGGAGAACAAGAGGCCTGAGGAGGATGAGGCCATGAGGTCAGCTGGGTGGGAACTTGTCACTTCCTGAGACCACCATGAATCCCTGCGTGTGTGTGTGTGTGTGTGTGTCTGTGTGTGTGTTGCATCATGTACGCAATTGTGAGTGTGGGTGTGTGTGTGGAGGGGTTCTCCGCAGGCACCCACGTCTCTTGGTGTGCATCTTGCAAAGTTCTGGGAATAGGCCACTGCTTTTACCTGATTCCCTGAGGCATCTTAAGTGCCCCGGAAGTTAGCTCCCATTTTTAGGCAACTTCCTGTGGAGTCTCTTAGTTTTCTTGGGGGAGAATCACTGACTTGGGGGAGACTGTCAGCCTTTCTGTGGGTGTCAGAAATCTCAAAATTCGTAAGGAAACTCACATTTCTGAGAGGATACTCCAATTCTTGAGAAATGCTAACCTTTCCTTACGAAATCTTTCTATGTTGAAGAACCTTTGTTTCTAAGAATTCTAATGACAGCTCAGAAAGACCGGTGTTCTGGAAGAATATAGTGTCTGGGGGTGGGGGGTGGGGCGGTGCACTAATCCTGAGGGAATTCCAGGGCGTTGTCAACATCCCTAAGGAGTCTCAGTGTTGTTGGGAGAATTCCGGTTCTGGTTGAGAGAAGGGCCACAATTTCTCTGGAAATGCCAGTACTCCTGTGGGAAGTCTCCCTCCTCCCAGGGGTCACCAAAGGAGCGGCAGAGCCCCCAGGCTGGGCTCAGAGTCCCCATAGTGGCTTTAGGGGCTCTGTCATTGGCCAGCTGGGGAATCTTGAATGTGTCACGTCCTATCACAGGGTCTCAGATGCCCTCCAGGCACTGGCCTCAGCAGTGCTTCCCTGGTGGTCGGGAAGGCTGACCGGCAAACTCTAAAGGCTGGTGCCATTGGAGGGCTGTTGTGGCCATGAGGATGGGTCTTTCTGTCGCCATTCACTCATCCTCGGTGTGTTTCTCCTGGGAGAGGAGGCTGTGGCCCAGAGAGGCAAAGGGGCTCAGCGAGATCACACAGCAAATGAGTGCTGCACGAGGAGGGACCCAGGTCCCCTGACCTCCACAGGGGAGGAGGTCTCATTTCATCTTAACCCCACTTTCTCATCCCTCCCAGGCACGCAGGCTGTGCCCTGTGTCCTTAGGATGCCACTGGTGTGGGAATCCGGAGCTGGGCACAAGGTGACCAGGCCAAAGGACGCCTGGGCTGGGCAGGCTGCCTGGCAAGAGCTGGCTGGCCTCCCTCCCTGACTGCAGGCTCTTTGCCCATTTTGCACCTCACTCATGGGAAATGGTGGGACGGTGCCAGGCCTGAGGGATAGGACCGTGTGACCAGGCTCAGTCAGGGCTGAGGACGCTCACAACCAAACAGCCAGGGTGGCTTTTGGGTAAGTCCCTTCTCTTGAAGCCTCAGTTTGTACCATCTGTAAAATGGGCATATACGGGTCTAGAGACCTCCATCAGGGAGGGTTGGGAGGAGGTTTATCTGCTGAGATGGGGGGATGGGGCAAATCAGCCGGGCCAGCTCTCCCTCTCATCTCGGGGTCCGGATGCAGAACCTCGTGGGCTGTCCCTTTCTCCATCTGCCCACAGCCCCGGGGATTTACGTGCAGCATCGCCCCAGAGCCTCGGAAGACACACTAATTTTTAGTCAGAGAAACCTCCACCTGAGCAGACTCCAAATCATTTTGTTTGTACTAATACAATTTGGTTTAAACCATGTGCCTCTCACATCTTTACTGAAGCAGAACATGCAAACACAAAGTGCACAAATCATAAGCATAGAGCTGGCGGCATTAGCATGAAGTGAAGCTTCCCGTGTGCTAAGGGCTGGCTTGTGTCCACCTCCCAAATCGATATGCTGAAATCCCAACTCCCAGCACCTCAGAATGTGCCCGCACTTGGAGAGAGAGAGAGCCTTTAAACAGGTCATTAAGTTAAAATGAGGTCATGAGGGTCAACCCTAATCCAATCTGAATGATGTCTTTATACCAAGAGGGGATTGGTGCTAAGAGGGAAAAAGGCAAGGCAGAGAGTATGAAGGGTTGAGAGAAAGGGGGAGAAATTTTTGATACAGAAGTCAGAGAAGTCCTCACTGAGAAGGTGACTTAGAGCAAAGACTGCAGGAGGTGAGAAAGGAGGCCATAATTATATCTCGGGGACGAGCTGTCTGGGCAGAGGGGGCAGCATGTGCAAAGGCCCTGGGGTGGAAAAGGTGCCGGTGTGTTAGAGGAGTCGTTAGGAGGTCAGCAGGGCTGTTGCAAAGCTAACAAATGGGAAAAGAACAGGGGAGGGGGGTGGCAGGCAGAGAGGGAGGTGCACTCCTCTGAATCAAAAATATGTATCTTGATTAAAAGTTCTTCAATTTTGTTTTTTACCATAAGGCACTGTTTAAAATAATCTTTTACATTGTTATTACAATTAACATTCATGGATAGTCTGTCAACAATTTAATAATGATTAAACACAAAGTAATATTGATTTGGAAGTGGATGCTTTAAGGAAATGAACAGAGCTTTTTCTCAATTTGTTCTTTTATCTGCACATGAATTTAGTCACTGCTGGAAGGGACAGGATTCAGCAAAGCAGCAGAGACCTAATTTTCAGCTTCGGAGAACTAAGTGCTATAAAAAATTGCTGTTTATTTGTTTGGCAAACGGGTGGACGTGGGGGAGTTTCATTAAGACGGTGTTGCTCAATTCTTGGAACTGCTTCCAACATTTATGCCAAAAATCACGAGATTGTGATCAAAGATTGTTTCCCAATAACTCTAAGTAGATTGGTAGCAGCAATAACACTCCTCTTCTGCTGAAAGCAAATTGAAAACCACCTGGCTCGCTTCCCGGGCATTGGTGGGGCCATCACACCCCTTTTGTTCAGAGCCCTGGCGGCCAGGCTCCCAGCCGATGCCCTTGAACAGGGATTAGGGACGGAAAGGGAACTATCTTTCAGAAAGGGGGAGAAGGAATGTCTGTAGAAGGGAAGGTGGGGAGCTTTGTGGGAGAAGCCACTTTTGAGAGGAAGGTTCTTGGGAAAAAGAACACAGTCCTGCAGATGAAGCCATAGAAAGTTCTCTTGTATCTCCGCTCCATCCCCCGGGGACTCAGTGAGGAAACGCATTGCGGGCTCCGGGTTCAAATCCTGAGTCTGCCCTTCGTTATCAGTGTGTTCTCATACTGATTGACCAACTCGCCTGCGCCTCAATTTCCTCATCTGTAAACGGGGACAAGAATAAGGCAGTAACGAATGGTCTGGCCAGCACATGGCAAGTGCTCAGAGAATCTTGGCTGCTTCCATGAAAAGATGTTAATAGGACTTTATCTCCACTGTCACCACTATTATCCTCATTGACCAGGGGCTGTCTTGGGAGTGAGAGGGCCTGGAGGGGCAGGGCTTCTGAAGCCCACTGTCCTGCAACCCAAGCGGCCCAACCCCCAAAGCTGTTTTTCTATCAGGCTGCCCGGAAACTCTCATTTGGTCAAGAGCTCAGTTTGAACACTCTGGTAAGATGTGGACTGCTGATTCCCAGCGTCACACCCCACTCCTCTGGTCATTTTGCATGACCCCGTGTTTGGCTGAGTTTAAATGTCACCCCATTGTCTCTGTGGCTTAGGTTAGAAACACATGCTCTGAAGTCAGGACAACCTGCATTTGAATCTCAGCTTTGCTCTTCACGCTTGAGGTGGCCCCAAGCTACCTTTCTGAGCCTCCGTGTCCTCATCTGTCTGTCAGATGCAGTTGGCGCTTGTACGTGAAGTAAAGGGCTATTGCGATGGCTGGCTGAGTCGCCTGCCAAGGGCACATCACGTGTCAGGCACCAAGTAAGCCCGAACCATGGCTGCTCTTAGGATGAGGGCGAGGAGTCTTTTGGGTGTGAGCAGGAGGCCTGGCTTGTCACCGAGCCCTGTCCTTTCCTCACCAGGTGGCCTTGGGAAGTCACACCTTCCCATGCCCCATGCCTCAGTCTCCCATCTGTGAAATGGGAATCCCAACCCCTGCTCTGCCTCACAGCTCCCACGTGAGGGTCAGATGAATCACAGCTACAGCACATTCTGTAACCCTCCAGTCGGGGAGGGTCTGCCCAAGTCTGGGAAGAGGAGCTGGGGCCTGCACCCTGCTCTCTGCCAGTGCCATAGAGAGAGGAGAGGACCCTGGCATTTAGAGGCTGCGTAGCGGCCAAGATCCCAAGACTGGCAGCCTTGGCAAAGATTCCCAAGATCCAGCATGGCCTCTCAAGCAGTAGAGCCGCCTAAGCTCAAAGGACAGGAGGCAGGGGAGGCTGTCTTACTCATCCTGTGCCCCGGAACATAGTAGTTGCTCAATGAACGATCGGTAGATGAAGAATCAGATGCGTGGCCCATGAAAGGGTAGATCTGGGCAAGGACAGGAGCCAGGAGACTCTTCTGGTGCAGAACCAGGGAACAAGGCCCTGAAGCAGGACAATGCCTATAAACAGTTTGAGCGATCTGGGCAACTTGGAGAGAGGGTAACGGTTGCACATCCGGGATGAGGGATGAGGGCAGGTAGAGGGAGGACAGAGAGAGCTGTGAGGGCGCAGCCAGAGAGACTGGGGGTGAGGGGCGGTGCAGAATTCCCCAGGGGGCAGGTGAATCGGGGCGGGGTGGGGGGGGCTTCAAGTGAGATGTTAGTGTTCAGATGGGGCGGAGGTGGGGGCCGGGCCAGGCAGGGGGCTCAGGGCTGACAACAAGGGCTCCTGAGAGCTGAGCCCTGTGGCTCCCCTAGGGCAACAGCCCGGCTTGTTTTTATCAAGCCCAGGCCAGGCCAGCTTCCTCATTGGCCCTTTTCCAAGTCACCTCTTGTGGGGAAAGTGCAGGGGGGCCAGGAGCTGACAGCTGGGCTGGCTCTCTGTCATAGTCACCTCCATGCAGGGGACAGGAGCAGACTCATGGGATTTGGGGAATCGCTTGAAACGCCCTCAAGTCAGTCAGGCCCAGCTGGGTTCAGCCTCCAATACCCGGGTCCCAAAACCAACTCTGTCACCTGCTTGCTATGTGCCCCTTGCTCTCTCCAGACTCAGTTTCACTGATTGCACAATTAAGAGTGTCGACTAAAACAGTGTTTCTCCAGGTCTTTCCCCCAATCCGCCCGTGAAGCTTATTTTTTTTTTTTAATTTTTTTTTTCAAACGTTTATTTATTTTTGGGACAGAGAGAGACAGAGCATGAACGGGGGAGGGGCAGAGAGAGAGGGAGACTCAGAATCGGAAACAGGCTCCAGGCTCTGAGCCATCAGCCCAGAGCCCGACGCGGGGCTCGAACTCACGGACCGCGAGATCGTGACCTGGCTGAAGTCGGACGCTTAACCGACTGCGCCACCCAGGCGACCCCGTGAAGCTTATTAAACTCAGATTCCAGTTCCCCATCTTGAAGTGACTGAGTCAGAAGCACTGAGAGGGAGACTGGTGGCCTGCAT